TTGCAAATCTTTAGTTTTTTCTTAACAATATTTTTTTAGTTATTATTACCACATAAATAACAAGTTAATTTATGAAAATAGTTATATTCATTATGTTTGCACTTATAAAATAAAAAGATGCTTTTATATTTATTATTTAAAGCCTGATATCTTACTATATTAATATTTGAATTTATCGTAATTTAGAGTACAATTTTTCACCTTTCAAAGACTTTATAAGCTATTATTATACTAACATTATAGCAGTAATAACCATAAAAATAAAACTGCTAACCATAATTATTTTATCACGCGATTATAGTCACAAATATATCAAACACTTTTCTTTCGTTGTAAGATTTAAATTACGTCAACGACCTCTTGAAGCAGTCAAGTATCGATGAATACAATTTCTGTTCGCCATCGGTAACAAAAAATGTGAATTAATCAGCGATTAAGAAAAATTATAGACGCATTATGTAAACTCGAAGCTACTCGGTCGCCTACCCCTTTTCCATTTAAATCGTTTGTTCGTCAAAATTGAAAATTATTTCATTTTTACGCAACGATTATGTGAAATATCGTTTTTTAAGTCGTACACTGCCCCACACGCGTTTAATTTATTACACTGGCTGCTGCGCAAAGTTCTTACGCAACCCGCATGATTCTGTGGTAAAAGGAGTGTGTCAATTCAAGCGAGTCTGTTGCGCTGTCAACACATGCATAATAAAGCAGATTTACATAAATGGAAATCACTTTTGATACGAAACGCCGAAAACGCACCGTAATTCATATTTCGGGATGTCAGGAACGCTGCATCGCGGTGTAGTCTAAAGAGATAAACGACTTCCGGGTATTTTCGCTTCCTATCGGCTAGAACGTATATAAAACGTGTATTTATGCGCGCTACAGTCTTCATTACGTATTCGCTATTTTAATTTAAAGCCACGCGTGCTCGCGGGTTAACGAGCGCGTGTCACGTTCTGCAATCCGAGCGCAGCGGCACCCCGGGAAAAAAAAGGACCGGGTTCGCATTATGTGGCGCGGTATTACGATTAGAGCCGAGTGTGTGCGGCACGCTCGATTGCATAATCCGCTCGTAAATAAACGGCCGTGCGCCCGCACGCTCGATCACTCGTTCGCTCGCCCCGAAAGAATGCCAGCGAGTGTCACCTGTTGACGTATCGATCACGCGTCGTGCGAATATCGCAATTGTGGCCGGTATTCGTAGTCGATTCTCACTATTTCAGACTGTCTTAACCGTTAAGTAGGCAAATGGGGTTAATTAGAACAAATTTTATTTTTATATAAGTTTACTGACTTATATTATTTATATATTCTTATGAGATAGAGAGATATAAAATAGGTGACTTTTATATGGTTTTTAATTCTTTTTATTTCCCTTTTTTGCAAAACAAGGTTTTTAATCTTTCCTGAACATATATTATTTTACATACAAAGCATTTTGAGTCTTTTCGTTCAGTCCAAATGTCTTTACTAGGCTTTCAAAAATCGGGAAAAATTCAGAATTAAATATCTCTGCTGCATTGCTAGTTACTTAACTCAGTTGTCAAAATCCTCGATTAATAAAAATTGAAATTTAAGGGTGAAATTTCGCCTTGGTCAAAAAAGACCCAGTGTGCTTACGAAGGGTTAAAATATACGTAGAGTGCTGTAGCCACCTATCTATTTAAAGAGGTTAAGTACAGTCTTAAGATGTTACGAGCCAATCGGAGAGTTATATTAGCATCCTAAGACATTACTTGAGACGGTCTTAAAATAAGAATGGACTATGAATACCGCTCTATGACTTTTCGCAGGTCCACGAAGTAGCGCAATCGAGCTCTCCGCTGTTTGCAACTGCAACAGCGGCGGCGAACGGTGCGAATGCATATACATATATCTCTGCCTCGTCGTTTGCACTCGGGAATGCGGTCTATAGCGCGTAGGATCGAGAGCGGACCAACGAGAGGTAGGGAGAGAGAAAGAGAGAGAGAGACCGGGAGCGAATACGAAGGAAGGAGTGAGAGAATGAAGAGACGTGCGAGCGAACGGGACAGAGGAAACAAGAAGGAGATACGGGAAGAGAACGGGGGGAGGAGAGAGAGAGAGAGAGAGAGAGACAAGAAGAAAGGGTGAGATAGAGAGAAAGATTGCGAGGGAAAGGGAAAGGACCAGAAGAGAAGCGACGTGGAGAGACGAGGAAGCCGGATTCACTCGAGTGAGAGCGAGAACAAGGTGAAGGGAGTGAGAAGGAGAAGAGAAGAAGTGGAGGAGCTGGAGGAAGAAGAACAGTCGCGGTGCTAGAGAGAGAGAGAGAGAAGGAGAGCGCGCACGGCAGTCGTAAACGGCAACAATTGCTGCGGGCGTTGCCACTCGAAAGCCCGAGTGCCTAATGCCAGATGTCAGACGGTGGTTAGAGTCATTACGGTCATCACTTCGTACCGCGATATACGCGCGGTGTGTGTGCAGGGTGCACCGGCGGGGCCGATGCAACAGCAACGACCTCGCTCTCTCTCTTTCTCTCTCTCGCGTTCGCATTGACTGCCACGCACCGCGATCGTCCGATTCGTAATCGATTCTCGACTCGAGAGCAGCGGCCGTGGAAAGTGTAGCGAGACGATCGGGAAGAAGAGAGAGAGAGAGAGAGAGAGCGGGACGGGTCCTCGAGAATGAGGTGGACGGGAGGAAAGTATACCGAAGTGGAGCACGCCTCGCTGGCGTTTTTCTCGAGACCCTCGTTCTTTCCAGGCTCCGTTGTTAGAGGACGGGACGCGTATAGAGAAACGGACAAAAGGCGCCGTGGCTTAATGATCCTCCGTCGCCGGTTAGGACGGATAATGGGAGACCTGCGCGCGCGCGAGGATGAATTGGAACCAGTGTTCCCGACGTGTAGGCCGCGCGCATAAGTACGTACGCACGCGCGTTCCGTTACTCCGTGCGTGAATATGCGTGGATATCGTTAGACGCGAGAAATAAATGTGCACGAGACGGGAGACTGGTGTGTTCGCTGAAAGCGCGATTCCTACGCGAATCACGGTTCAACTGCATTGAACAGATAAATTGTATTCATAATTGAATTATTTGCCCGAGAGAGTTTGTCCCTCCTCCCCTCCACTCCTCCCGACGAAAATAATACGCGTCCTGTACTCGTCCGTTTCTATTAATCGCGCGTATACGGATACTTACTAATCTGCCGCTGTCTGTAATTGTTATCGGAATCGAATGACCGCGTTTAGCGTTTGAATGAAGGCGAGAGCAGAGACAGAGGTTTCTCAGAAGTCGAGTGCGAAGACTGGACATCGCGCGAGAGTCCAACTTCCAAAACCCGTTTCTACGCCGGAGTCGCCGTAGATCTGGTCTCTCTGTTCGCGAGATAGAAAGAACAGCGGGCGAGTTGGATAGAGAGAGAGAGCGCGGAAGAAGTGCATAGAGGGGAGGGAGGGGGGAGGGGGAGAGCGAGAGGAAGGTCCAAGACGAAGGACCGAAGGGGTGGAGCCGCGTCGAGGGGGATGGAGCGAAGAGGGCGTCCGCGGGCCCGGGCCAAGCCGGAGCCCGGACGAAAAATCTGTAATTATAATAATTACAGCCGAGCGAGCAACAATTATAAATCATCATTGAACTAGGCAGCGAAACGCCAATAAAATATATATCGTACCGGGGGCAGACATTATAACATCGGCGTCGCGTTGCGCGTGTAAGGGGCACACGCGGGCGTGCACGGGCCCGCCGGATGCCGTGCCTCGCGCGACGCGATTGAAAAATGCACTCGGCTTATCCCCGTGCAATTTCCATCGGCATTCGGCGATGCGTACCCGAGCCGCACGCGGATGACAATCCAGCGGGACAAAAAAGGGTCGAGTGAGCGCGCCCGCGCGGGACAGACGGACAGGATGTGGGAGAAGGAAGGCGGAGAAGATTTCTTCTCTCCCGTCATTTTGCGTTCTTGCTTCCTGTCCTCCCCCCCCCCCCCATCCTCCTCCCCGCAAGAATCTACGGTCCACAAATCGCTCCTATGAATGACGGACGTTATTGCGAACTTCTCTCGTCATGGATGAATATTTCCATCGGAAGCGCGACAATTGAAATGTAAGCGTGCGCGAAAAATATTTCGTTAACTTTTATAGAAGTTTAATATACCAGTAATAACCAATTAATTACTTTTGTTTTAAATATTTTGATGTATATATCGAAATAATTTAATAATCAACTAATTAATATTTTTAGTGTTATCGACATGTTATTATGCTATACATTTAACTTTTAAGTAGGTAGGTTGTTTAAAGAGATGTTTAAAGCATCCCGAAAAGTTTCAATATTGTGCATTTATATTTTTTACTATAATAGTATATATTAATGTGTTGACAGTTATAATAATTATACCCTTACAAGGTAAAGGAATGTAAAATAATAAATTTTTTTTTCCAAAAAACAAAGTTTAGAGAAACTATAAGATATTATAGTCAATATTCATATTGTCACTTTAAGTTCCTGTCTTCAGTAGAATATTAAAATGTCATGAACCAATCGAGAGCTATATTAACATTTTAAAGAACATTACTTAGGATCTTGAAATAAGAACGGACTATCGGCCTCCAATTAGTTCATAACACCTTAAGATTGTGCTTAACTTAAGACAGCCTTAAATATAAGAATCGGCTATGAAAACCAGCACCTCACCTATATTCATATACTTAAAGGTTCAGCGGCTTTCAAGAAGAAATCCATCTACGCGGGATAGAATCTACCATCGTTTCGTTACTTTTGCCAATCGGTCTACCGTAAATTCGTTACGCGTCGGCACGATCGGGAGCCGCGGCGGTGTAATATTACTTTCGACGATTACGTCGAACGTAATACGATCACTCGTAACGTCGGTGCGCCGACAGCCGGTACACGCGTAATCGCCTTTGCGAGAGACGACGCGACAGCTCAAATTTCAGAGACGCGTGCGAACACGTGCGTAAGGCGACGACACGGCGCCGTCTATTATCTCCCTCGTCCTATCTCTTTTCCGGGATCTATCCTTTATTCCATCCTGGCCTTGTCATCGTGGGGTGTATACAAATACGCACGGCCGCTCGCACGGCGGGACGTAACGATGCGGCGCCGCCGCGCCGCGCCGGCTCGTGAAGCACCCCCTCGGACGGTCGGGGACTAAGCTTGTTCGCGTTCTAACACCGCTCCGGGGACAAAAGAGCGTCTCGGTGGCGACGTGTTCTCTCTGCGTATATTCAATATAAATCCGCGCGGAATTGATAAGCACCCAAGATCCAGCTATATATATAGGCCGGTATTCATAGTTAGTTTTTATTTGACAACTGTCTTAAGTAATGTCTTAAGACGCGAATGCAGCCCTTTGATTGGTTCGTGACATCTTAAGACTGTACTTAAGACGATCTTGAATATAAGAATTGACTATGAATACCGGCCATAGACCGTTAAGGCTTTGTTTCTCATTCCTTTTGTGTCTCTCGCATGTTCGCTCCTATAAGACTTAAGATTATTTATTAATAAAAGTATAACGCACAGAGTCTTGCGTAAGAAAAGAAAATGAATCAATCAAAGTCCTTCATCTTCTTCCTTTTCATGAAATAAAAGTCCGATTGATTGATTTCCTCTTATGCTTTATGCGTTAAGCAAAGACCTGTGCTTCGACCTTGACACGAGAGTTCGCTTGTGGGACTTCATAATCATATCGTGTTACGTTTCTTTTTCCACTTTTTTCCTAGTTAGTCCAATCAGGTCACCGCTACTACCTGATTGTGTTTTTCAAAGAGTTTTGGACTCGGAAAATCTGAAAAAAAATTGGTACGCTCTTTTAACATTCAAGAATACGATTTTACGATGACACGACCCGAAACGTTGCTCATTCCTTTGTAAATGTCTGAATTTGAGGCAAAATAATTGAAAATTTGCCTGAGTCTCTCTTTAAATCTCTATCTCTGGGCCGCGAAGGGTTAAATAATTGCTTAATGAATGACAAACCAAGATGGTTAAAAGATGACGACTGAAATAGCCAATAGAAAAACGCAATAGGAATTAAGCAGTCACCAGGAAGACACGCTACTTTCGTTAATGTATAGAGTTTTAGCGGTAACAGCCCTCGCCTTGAACCTCGCAAAGGGAATACGCGGGAGAGCCACCAGGAAGACACAGCTAAACATTCCTTTCTTTTCCTCTCCTCTTCCGTTGGATCGACGACGTTACGCCCCTGAGCGACTCATGCCGCCGCTATGCGTGTACGCAACACTTCTTTCCTCATTCAGGTCGCCGCTCGTCGTGGCTCCTACTCGTATTCGCTCTGGACGCTACTCCGCCTCTGTCTCTTTCCTCGCGGAGAGAAAGAAAGACGCGCGGGTCGCGTATGCAAATGAAGCGTAGCGCGCGGATGTATTTCACTTCTGAACCGCGGGACCAGGTGCCCTTTTTTCGCAGAACGAGAAAACGAAACGATAATTGACGACGCGCTACCGCGATACTAATTGAAACGGCCGGTAAAAGTCTTATTCCTTCTCGTTTATCACCTCTTCCTCTCTCGCTCGAGTTTTAGTTTAAGAATTTTTCACAAACTCCTCATCCTAAAGTTCAATAATTTTTTCCTAATTTCCAGAGACAAATTCGTGACTTTTTCTGACTTTCAATGTTGAAATATTGTGTGTTTTCGTGATGATTTTGAAACCGTTCAATATTTCGTTGAAAGATATAAATTTAAAATTTAATATAGTCGTGTAAATTACTATCAATGTTACTGCTTGCATTTTTAATTAATAAATTAGTAGTTCGAAAATTGTGTAGATATGACATATAATATATTAAACTTCTTTAAAGTCAAGAATCTCAATTTTTCAGAAAAATAATAATAACATTAGGAGAAAGCTCGGCAATTAATAAATAAATATTGAAATAATTTAACGGGCAACGAGCCGAAATAAAAAGATTACAATTAAAAAGAGAGAACAAAGAAGATATATTTAGATTAAAAACAACAAACGTTTCGATACCGATCGGGTCATTCTCAACGTTAACAAATTATTAAAATATTAACGGAAATTTAACAAATAATTTGAATATTGAGAGAATTTTACAAGAATCATAATCTTTTTTAGTAAATAAGTTTTAACATTGTGTGTGTTGTTCATTGAGATGCTTGCCATAATGTAGCCGCTAGTCATCAACATTTTTCAGAAAAAATTGCAAAATCTTTCTCTGAATTTCCGCAGTATTGCAGCAATCCTGAGAAAAAATTATTTATTTGATCGAACGATTGATTTAATCAAATAAATGATTTTTTCCGCAGTACGGGATTAGCGAAAGATAAGGAATAAATTGAACCGAGATTAAAATTATAGCTCTTTCCCAGCTTTAACATACGTGCCTAACGGCCCGCGGCTGGTTACGAGCGTTCGTTCCGTGCCCTTTTGCCCGCCTGACTGCGTCCGAGGAACCTTTAATGTGAATCTTAGCGACTTTACGCGAAACGACGTGGATTATGCAAGGGTTAAACGCAAAGTACCCACCGCGAGTGTGTAACGTCACTCTTTCCTGCCGACGCGACGCGACATTTAAGATATTAATTTATAGAGGCTGGTCGTCGCGAGCTGCGTGCCGCAACACTGCCGGTAAATGTTTCGCGCAATCGATTCCGATGACGGGTCAATTAGGGGCTCGCGGCATAAAGACCGATGACGGATTTTCTTCGATCGAATCGGTCGGGAAGAATAATCATGATTTCTCGAGTGTATACGTCAATTAAACTTCGATCTCGCTTTGGTGAGCATTCGCGAGCGCGGCTGGTGACTTCTGTATAATCGACTCGCTTTCTCAAACGCTAGTTTAACGAATTAATATAACGAACACCTCAAGATCAAATCAAACCCCCTCTCTCTCTTTCTCTATCTTTCAACAATTTGCTTGGCGCTTTTTATCTTATATCAATTGCTGTTTTCATTTTTCTTTCATCTATTCCTTCACTGCTCTCATCCGTTATATTTTTCATTTTATATTATATATCTTCGTGTATTTTCATATCTTCTACTTGCTAATTTTCTTATTTAACTATTTTGCGTTTCACTCTTTCCGTATGTCCTTAGATTTCGAACAGCGATAAATGCTTCCTCGCTATCTTTCTCGAAATACAAATATCAATTACGGCTCCTCCAAGAGACACAGCGTCGCGATATCGCGCTTGTTAAAGGAGATGACAGCGTTACGTCTGTCCAACACATAATACTCGCGAACACAGTCCGAACAAGTGTGGAAAATATTCCGTCCGTCATATAGATATCAAACGGCGTGACAAGCAATTCACAAAATTGCAACAGCCCGCGGACCTATTCCGTATAACTTTTTGCGTTGCAACCCGACTGACGAAACAATTGCCCGTTAGCGTTACTATATACGACTTCATATGCGAGCGAGCGAGCGCGGCGTTAAGAGAGCAGCGTTAAAATCACGGCCGCCGCGGCGTGTGAGAAGCGCAACGTAAACATATCGCTCGCACTTTGTACGCAACAATGCTAACAGGATGAGAAACGGTTCCCATTGTAGACTCTCGCGCCTTCACCCGTCATCTGGCTTGACGTGACATTAAACGTTTAACCGAAATTCAAACGCACACAATTGTCTCGTAAAGGAGGGGTTCCTATATTCTCTCAAGCTGATGAATATACGAACGCGAATGCGAAAGTTCGTTATATTGTTATTCGTTACATAAATTCAATTGCTGTTTAATGCAGCGGATTTAATTGAATGCTTGGCATTTTCTCAGTCCGTGACAAAAGAATATAACAGATGTTTTTATAAGTAAACACGACTGTCCGAACATTCGCGTTTGTGCGGCCTGTTCGCTAAAATCGAGGCTAAAGTTCGATTCCATCGTTAAAATTGACGTTAATCTCGTTTTAATTCAACGACTACAAGCAAAAGCTATACCGTTTATCTTTTTTTCATTTGTTGAAAATTGTTCGTTTGACTAAATTAATTTAGTTCCCATTTCTTTCAACAAATAACGTATACCATATTTGACTTAAATATATACATTTTCCAATGAAAAAAGTAAAGACGACTAAATTAATTTGGCCAAATGAACAATATTCTTTTCTCAACGTAAAATTAGAAAAAGAGAGAATTAATTGATCCAAGACTAAAATTATTTATTTGACTAAATTAATTCGGTTCTTTATTTCTTTCGATAAAGAATGCATGCATTTAAATGAAACGCTCGCCAACGAAACAAGTAAAGACAACTTAGTGAAATAAACAATTAACTTAACCAAATGAACAATTTTTTTCCTCGATGTAAGCTGAGATTAAAGCTACGTATCGTTAAATTTGGTAGAGCCGCGGTGTAGCTTCCCAGCCTCATATTTCGCGCTGCAACGCGCAGCGGGAGGGAAAAATGAGTGATCTCCCCGTGTGATCCACCTACCTTGAGGAAGCAGCGTCCAACGGGCAAGTCCTCGGGCACGCTGGCGTTGTAGAGCGGCTTCTCGAAGATCGGCTCGTTGTCGTTGAGATCGTGGACGGTGACTCGTACGGTCGCGCTGCTGCTGAGGGGCGGTCGTCCGGAGTCGGTCGCGTAGACCAGCAGAATCGGCGCCGGGTTGGCCTCGCAATCCACGTGCGTCACCGTGGTGATAAGCCCGGTGGTCTCGTCGATCGCGAACCACGTCGCGTTCGCCAAGGAGTAACGAACCGCCGAGTTGACGCCCTCGTCGAGATCGGACGCGATCACCTGTATCACCGACGTCCCGGGCTCGGACGCCTCCAACAGATGAGCCTCGTACCGCTCGCGGTCGAATATCGGCGCGTTATCGTTGACGTCGGTGACGAGGAGCCGGAAAGTGCGCTCGGCGCACAACGGTGGCGTGCCGGCGTCCGTCGCCTCGACCGACAGTTCGTAGACGGACTGCTCCTCGCGATCCAAAGGTCGTTCCACCACCACGAGATAGATGATGTTGTCCCGCGTGGTCAGACCGAAGTGACCCTCGCCGCCCGTCAAGGTGACCGTCGCGTTCGAGTATTCCGTGCGGGAGTCCGGATCGCTGACGGATATCCTCGCGACGAACTCGCCGAGTTGCGCGCTCTCGCTGATCTTGGGGGTCGCGTCGTCCGACAGGAAGATGACGGTGATGTCCGGCTGATTGTCGTTGACGTCGGTCACGCGGATGGAGAGGAAGGTGCTGGCTTCCAACGGCTGGGCGCCGCGATCTCGGGCGACGATCACCAGCTCGTGGCGTTCCTTGGACTCGAAGTCGAGGGCCTTGTTGACGTAGACCATCCCGGTCTCGGGATCGATGCGGAACATCTCCTCGCGATCGGACTGCCGGCGATTGATGGAGTACTCGATGCGGCCGTTGTCCCCGGCGTCGGCGTCGGTCGCGTTCACCGCGAGTACCGGCGTGCCGACGGTCGCGTTCTCCGGCACGCTCGCGTCGTACCGCGTCTGGTTGAAGACCGGCGGATTGTCGTTGACGTCCTGAACGGTCACGTTTACGTGTAAGTGGGAACGGAGGGGCGGCGTGCCGCCGTCGAGCGCCTCGATCACCAGATGATAACGGGAGCGCATCTCCCGGTCCAGGGTGCCGGCGATCTGCAGGTCCAGGTAGAGAACGCCGTCGCGGCCGCGCTGCTGCGACAAGCGGAACGTGTCGCCGTGATTCCCGGACACGATCTCGTAACGCTGCGTTGTGTACTGGCCGAGATCGGGATCGTAGGCCGGCGGGAGAGGCCGTTTGACGTCGCGGGGCGAGTTCTCCGGGAACTCGATGTAGACGTGCTCCACGGCGAAGGTAGGCGCGTTATCGTTCTCGTCGAGCACAGTGATAACCACCCGCACCCTCGGCAACGCTACCAGGCTGTACGACGGCCGGGTCTCGCGGTCCAACGGCACCCGCGTCCTTATCTCCCCCGTTGCCGACTCGATCATCAGGTCGGTCTCCACCGGCGAGCCCGGCACCGGCGCTATCAGATAAGGCGGGCTGTCAATGTCGATGAAACCCACCCGGGTGCCCGGCCGCACGTTCTCGGACACCTCGAGATACTTGACGCGCTCGTGCAGCGCACCCGGGGCGGGGGTCGCGCCCAGGCCGGGGGTCGCTCCCAGGACGAGGAACAGTAGCAGATGATGCCACATCCTGGGGCCTCCAGCACCACGCCACGGCCGTCCCTCCACCTCCTCCTCCTCCTCCACCTCGACACTCGCGATATTATCTCGACCTTTCCATCCTCGGCCGTCGCCGCGCCGTCGGTCGCGACGCGAAAAGCGAAACGGATTCTTCCTCGTATATCACCCCACCCCCCCCCCCCCCTCCCCCTCTGCACCGAGTCCTCGTGTCCTTCCTCCTTTTTCTTTCACCCCGGCACTTCCTTATCACCCAATTTAACTTTATACCTTTTTCTATATTATATATGTAGCACCAACACGAAGCAACCTGCAGCACCAAATATCACTGTTTTATCCTCGAACGTGAGCCTCTCTCACGCGACTGTATTCACACTCCACCGATTTTTATTACAATACGTTCACACACGCGAAGCACCGCGAAGATTCCCTTCTCCTCTATCCGCACTAACGTACTTTCAAGTATACCGGCGTAATTGTCTCACCGCGTCGTCGATTTACACCCGCGCGAACTGTGCTCCGGTCTGCTCCGCGTGAACATAGCAGCGTATAGATTCGTTTCTTTCGAAACTGTGAAGTTGGTCGCGGCGCTCTAATTTTTTCTCTCCTTCGAACGAAACTTTTTTCCTTCTCTCACCTTTTTCGTTTTCTTTGCCGAGTTCCTTTACGGCGACGGCGAGATATGGCGCATTCCTCGCATTATTCGCTCCGCGAGAATGCAGCAGAGCGGAGATTCGGACTGAAGTTGGCCGCTGTTGGCCGAATTATCGCGGAGCTCCACTTTTCCCTTCTCTTTTCCACGAGACTCCCTTTCTTCCTTTCTCTCTTCCTTTCTCGTTTTCTTCGCCGAGTTCCTTTATAACGATGAGATACAGCGCAGCATTCCGCGCGTAATCCGTTCCGCGAGAATATAGCAACGGAGAGATTCGAACTGAAGTTGACCGCGCGCACAGGTCGAATTATCTCGCTCTACTTTTCTCTCCCGCGGAACTTCCTTTGCTCCGTAGTTCCTTTATGACGGCGAGATATGGCACATTCCACGTCCCGCGGACCGGCACAACCGATCAGCACGACCGGTCGCGAACCCGGCGCGATCGTCCAGCGTCATGCATGACCGTCGCGTCGGGACACCTCCTCGGCGCTGTCGCGGACGTTTCGTATTCGTGATTCGTCCCACGACGTCACGAGCCGGTCGTTGCCGCTGTCATCCCCGGCGCTGCCGCTCCGACCGTCGTCGGATCGCGTCGATCGATTCGCGAACCGGAATCAACGGAGACCAGAGAGTAAGAAACCAGTCTCTCTCTCTGTACGTTGGTCCAGGAACAAAATTCCAGAAGCGAGGAGAAAACCAGGAAGGCGGAATCACACGAATGACTCGCGGACGACGGATTGTCAAGAAGAGAACGCACTCCGAACTCTGTCAATCGCGAATAGATGAATTATATACCTCGTTACGCCAAAGTATCGCACCGATATGTAGAGACGCCCGTCTTTTTTTTTTTCCGCGCTTCTTTTCTCGGAGCAGAGGAGACGCGCCGCCGATCGTCTCGTCTCTCCTTTCGCATCCGACGTTCTATACGCGCGGCCTTACTTTAATCGCGAAGGGTCGGAGCACTCTCCTCTCCGGTCACGCACCGCGTTTTCGCCCGCGATAAAAGAGACAGGTCACGCGGTACCGCCGTACTTCTCTCCACGTACGACGTTAACAGCTGCGAATCCGTCGAGCTGCGGGGACGAAAACGATAAGGGGAGATTAGATGTAACCCTTCCGCAAATAACACAGCGGTAGCACGAGGTATCGCGTAGTCGGGGCCCAACGTCCGTTCCGCGCGGCTTCGAGGTTAGGCATGCACTGACATGGCGGCACCTGCGAGGCCTACCCTTCCCCTAACCCGACGGGCTCGCCTGGCTCGGTCAGGGGGGCCCACGGCTGGGCCTCAGCGGCCTCAGCTCGACCAGCGGCGGCCATCTTGGAGAGGGGAGCCTCGCGCTGCGCTCTGGTACCGGGCCCCGGCATTCAACGCGCTCTTCGCGGCAGCGAGCAGCTAGAGACCATACCAAACTCTCTTACCTGCCTGCATGCCGGCTCTCTCTCTCTCTCTCTCTCTCTCTTTCTTCCTTTCTTACGCTCCTCTCGCTCCCTTTCCTCCGCATCTTCCTCCACCGCCGTGTATTTCTTCCTCTACCTACCTACCTGAGCGCTCGGTATGCGAAAAACTGACTTACCGTCGGCGCTCATTCCGCGCCGAGCCCTACGAGACTCTTGTAGCAAGGGTCCACCTCGTGCCAAAGGTCCCGGAATTTTGTGACGTGAGACAGGAAAAACGTGCCGTCTCCTAGAAACGCGTGTTGTATGTACGCGAATCGGACCTACAGAGGAGGGATACCCTGGGGCGAGAAGATCTTTTCGGTGTGCCGTACGGATTGTCTAGTGGACTAATCAACCTAGACTATAGATCGTGAGGATCCTGGAATTTTGCGACCTGAGAAACATTCGCAGGGACGTTTTCCAGAAAAATTTTCCACGTGGGAGATGACTTGTATACGATAAGACCTCCCGCATATACGAATTGACTAATAATACAAGACCCTTTAGATGAGATACAAAGAGCTTGGAATTTTCGTAACGTGACGAGAAAAACGGTTACGAGAACGTGCCGTTTCTTAGAAACGCGCGTTACGCGAATTGCAAAGGGAACGCTCGAGATAAAGCGCATTCTCGAAATGCCACTACTGCATTTAAAACTGAATATGGAACAAGTTGCAACCTGAATTAAGTCGAAAAACGACGATCGAGACTTGACATTAGATTTATATTACAAATTTGATTTATAACACTGCGCTCACTTTGACAATGAAAGAGACACAACTAAAAAAAAAACGTGACTTTTTAATTATTACCATAAATAAATCGAGTATTAATCTAAAATATCAACCATCAAAAGTAAAATAACATAAAGTAAAATAGTGATTTCATAAAAGTTAAAATGTCCATTCAGAAGGGGTGGTTTAAAAACACATTAAAGTTGTCACAAACAGTGCAGGTTTATAAGAATTTGATGGTGATAATTATGCGCGGATCGGTTTAAGTATTGTAGTAAATAATACACATGAGTCAAATATTCAACGACCATCATTACTCCGATTTCTACCGGAATAAGATTGGAGCACGCGTTGTGATTCGCCATGATATTTCCAGCGTTATGTTAGTTTTGATGTTTTATTAAGAGTAGAAAAATTAGAGTTTTTTTAGTATTATATAGTTGCATTATATAAATACAATATAATCGAACGATATAACATTTTAAATTATTTCGAAAGGATTATACATGTAAGTGTCGATTAATAATAATTTAGATAGACGGGCAATTTCCAATAATACATTTCCCAGATATAAAATTTGCAATGGTCACATTCAGCGAAAACGAGGCGAAAAATGTTTATTTTGCAACTGTTGGAAATTTCCTTTGCGCTGATTTGATTACATTTTTAATAAAACAAGTTTTATGACTTCAAGAATAAATCAAACGTAAATAAAGTGTCTATATTCCTTTTTCACGTTACAAAACAGAACTCAAGCTTCTGTATCGTTATACGCAAATAATATAAGATGATAATGTACTTGCTAATGAAGTTAACTGTAAAGTGTAAACATTTCAAGATTATTATTTATGCATCAGCAACTGTAAAGACTTACAAGCATTTTATTCATATAACGTATATTTGATTTATACTTTTAGGTCTAGAAGAATAGTCCTTCCTACAGTGAAGAAAATTTCCAACCGGTTACAAAATAAACATATTCTGCTAAACCTAATATTATTATTATTTTAAACGTCTTCATATAGAGAGAATTAGATATTATAAATTCATAACGATATATGATATAAATATACTTCCTCGTCAAAGGATACGTGTATTATAAATACTCGATCGCCCCAAGAGCCAATATCCTTGTCAATCAATGTCACGGGACATTCTTAACAGCTGCAATTACGGTTGCAAAAAAATCTAAGCACTGTCGTAAAATGCGGAGCTCAAGGTATCGACTAACATTAGACTGTCAGCGTTTCCTCAATTGCGGGACAACCTCAGCGAATTGTAGCATAGCACGCAAACGTGCACGCGGCAGTCAAAAAGGTAATATTCCTAACTAGCGCTAAATATTTCTGAAATATTCATAAAATGTTCCTAAAATCTCAAAATAATATTGCAAGAGTATTCCGGAATATCTCGAAATATTTACAGAAAGTAAGAACAACATTCGAATAATCATTAAAGATTCCATTGAAGAATGTTTCGTATATATTTCGCAAAATTACAATTTTTCCAGAAATTCCAGGCTCAGAGGTCGTGGAATTAATGTTCAAATGAAATGCCAAAATCTAATTAATTTCATTTAATTAGATTTCGCTCGTGCAATGCAAAGTATAAAGGAATTCGGTCTAAATCGAGCAGTTAAATAACATGTTTTTATAAAATAAATCTCAAGTTTACAATGTTAGTACGGCATAAAAATAAAAATATATAAAGAATATAATATAAAAAATAATATAATGATATCGAACGTTTCGGAACTCACAGGTTCTTCAACGATTCTCGAAGATGTTATAATACAAAGTTATAGAGATGATAATCTTACGGACTAAGCGACATGCGGTGTGGTACAAATTTCGAATGTGGTACGAGTTTCGAATAAATTGATTCTCCTGTTTTTTATGAGTGTGGAAATTGTGTAATAAAATGTGTGAAAACAGGAGCATCTTTATTTGTCTGATTCTGTTAGGTGCAAGTGTTACAATCAATTTATTTTTGAAGCCCGATTTTTGAAGCTCACTTCAGGCGAAATGCTACGCTGCGTTTGTATTCTTTCCTATAATGTGATTTTTATTTACATTAATGCATCTCTGCCGTGGCGTTTCGTCGTGAGTGAGGTTTTTGCTGTATATACAAGAAGTGTTCGTACAATATTTTGAACATCTCTTATTAATATTTAAATATTTTATAAAAATTCTCTTTTATACGGAGAATACAAATCAAAGTTTTTACAAATGATTACACTGAGAAAAAAGTTGTTAATTTGACTAAATGCGTTGTGATTATTTAGTTCAAGTATTTATATGTATAAGAGTTAAATATACGAGAGTCATATCAACATGTTACTTGTTTGAATTAACAAAAATTTGCTCGACAGATCGTTATCGCTGTACTTAGTTGAAACAATTAATTTTCTTTTTAAAACAGCAGATTCTTCTATTTTCTGAAAAGGAAGGAAACAGAAGATTTCGATTGGCTTATTTTCTATAATGCGTTATGCAATACTCTGCACTCCCATCTTTAGCGTTACAGCTGGATATATTTGCAGACGAGAGTTAACGATTATTACGAGATGAGATAACGAGCATCGATCGCGACGATCGCCGTAGAACCGTCTCAAATCGGATCTCTCTCACACGGCTGTGTTGCAAAGATTCGTCAATACGCTCCGCTTGGAGAGACCCGTCGAGAAAGATCGTCGCGGTAGTTCGTTACTTTGCGAGATGATAGGCGTTTGATAGATCACCGAGGCGCCGGTCGCGCGAAATCAGCCCGGAACGAAAGGACGATCCACCGACGGTGGCGTTTCCGACGGCGGCAGCCGCCAGCCGGCGACGCGACGTGTCTCGGGGGTCGAGAACCCCTAGATCTATCTCTCTTCCCCTCTCTCTCTCTCTCTCTGCGCCTCTACCTGACTCTCTACGAGTAGGTAGATAAATCCGCCGCCTACTACTGCCTCGCCAGCGTGGCGGACAATGCGCTCAGGACGGCGCATCATCGTCCGTATTGTTTGGCTCGGCCAACGGACGCACCGCCCGGCTTTTCTCGCAGGTGTTGGAAGCGGAGGAGAGCGCGGAGGACGTGCGTCTAGCTATACGCACTTTAGCCATCACGTAACATGACGGGGCGCACAGCGGCATGCGGGATATTTCCCGGAAATCAAGTCGCTCGCCCGCAGAAGCCGCTTCTCGTGTTCCACGCGTGGAAATGACGCGCGATTTCAGGATATACGCTCGTCGCTTGTGTCGCGCGCAAATTCCACGAAAGCGATCGGGATCGGCGCGGTAGTTGGTTTTAACGACGT